GTTTAAAATGTGACGGGAACCCGAATTTCCGCAGGGGTTCCTTAATAATACCGTATACACTCGCGTAGGTCCTATAAGGTGACCCGTGTATAGGACGACCCCCGAGTTTTAGAAGATTTTTGGTTGATATTTGTATGTCTGGCGTATAAGACGACTCCCTGTTTCATGGTCGTAATTCCTAATTTTTTTTTGGTCCTGTATACTGCGTCTAGCTGGATAAATGGAGCCAAATGCAAAAGTAATCTTCCAAATAATACCATTTTATGAGTTTTTAAATCTTCACCACCAAAGTCGTATTTTCCCATATATAAAATTGCTTTCATTGATACAACATTTAGTTGCCTCATTGCAGTAGTAAGTTCGCGTGTTAAGCTGGTTTTCCACTAAGCGAATTTATTCGCGCGAATCAAAGAGTCGGCTCGCTTTCTGAGCTCTGATTGGTTGCGCATTTTTTCGCTTCTCAAAAACTCCGATAGGAATGTGAACGAATGCGCATGTACATAAGCCGACGCTTTGGATTCGCGTGAATAAATTCGCCTAGTAGAAAATCAGATTTACGGACGATCCGCACATAAGACGAACATGAATATAAAAATCTAAAATCTGAATGTCGTGCGTATAAGACGACTCCCTTTTTTCGATCATAATTTGTTATTTTAAGCCTCGTTTATACGTGAGTATAGGCCTATACGTCATTTGTTTTAAAAACCTAGGTCACCTGAGCGTTAAAGGATTCCCCATACAGTGGCGGATTCAAGGCGGAAATTTTCCATGGGGAGGACCCCCGTACCCCCTTTCATTTTGGGTATTTTTGGAAACGTTTTGAATCCCCCTCTTCCAAATCATGGATCCGCCCCTGAATCATGTACCTTTGTTTGCACTAAATACTTAATCTATGTTCCCCCTTTAGCTGATGTGAGGTAAGAGAGTTTATTTAAAAGAACAGTTTCATTTAATGATTTAAATTGTTCGGATGAAATACCGGTACATATTTTTTATGAAGTTCAATGCAAGTTTGTACCATACTGTGTGTCTTTGTATATGTTCCATTCTAGTGGAGGTTCTATCTCTTTTGAATATAAATTAAATACTGTACTTAATTGATTTATTATTGCCCACTTGAATTGTATAGCCCTAGGTGCTGCCGTGTTCTTTATGTAGAGCGCCATATATAAATGCTCGATGTGCTTTTCCGGGTCCGATGGCACCTCCAATTTCAAGCAAGTGTTGCAGAGACTCTGGTTGCATATGAGAATGAAGAAGATAATTTTGATAGCAAGTTTAGATAAAAAGTATTTATTAAAGTTTTCATAGGTTTGTTTTAATGCCAGTTTGTGTTACCTATTGTAACTTAATTCATTCTAATTAAAGAGAGAAACGGGTTTACCAATAACAGGACCCCTTAAAATGTTTGCTATGATCGACTACAATGTACGTTAATATGTAATACCGTACATTTAAATCAATTTAGATCAATCTTAATGATGTGATTTTAAATAGCAGAAGCGGATTTAGGGTGGGGGAGCGGGCGGGAAGTGGTGAAAAAAAAAAGAAAAAAAGAAAAATTGATCGCCCAAACGCATGAGGTTATTTACGGGCGTCAGCAACCAAAGAACATAGGGCCTAGGCTATTTGTTATTATGATGTAGCTGGGCATGTATTTTATGGTGATAGATTAATTAAAAGAAGTTTAACATTGTTTTGTGTATATTCTTTGAATTTCTTCAATTTCAAACGAACGGCCCCTGATTTTCCTGTAATTTTTGCAGTATTTGAAATGAATATGTACACACATAACTGTCTTCTAATCGGATTAAAATCTGGCCGAATTTTGGCCGATATTGAAAAAAAGTTTGGCCGAATTTGGCCGTGAGATGGCGTGTGTTTCGCCGTGAAGCCTGTCGACTATCTGGCAACCCTGATTCATTCCCTTGCCTGAAATCACCATGCTGCTAGTATCTGCCATAATGTAGGCCTAGGCCTAGCCCCTAGTTAGGCCTAGTGAATTTGCCTGCCTATTGTCTTATTTATAGACAGACGATCAATACAATGTAGGCCTAGCCTAGTCTACTGAGCATACCTCGTTGTCGTACAGTCGACCATAATAATAATACAATTTCTTTATTGGAAAACAGGCCTACATCCATATATCATTTCATTGTCTTGATATACAAATCACATAGGCGTAGATCCCGGGGGATATATCCCCCCCCCCAAATATTTGACAAG